TATATCATCTGGAGTCTAATTAGTTTCTCAAGTTCAGGAAACGTTCAGTCGCGGCGTTATTATCGTCGCTTTAATTCTTCGATAGGCGCAGTACCTGATTCACACAATTTCGTATTTCAAGTTTCCAACATTTTATATATGTATCCGTACGTATCTGTACACGGGAATGTGATTGGTCCGCATATAAATCTGGTTGTGCCAACCAGATTAATAGTGGAAATACGAAATGACTAATTATGTGGTTGCTGCGACCACAGAGCAATCGATTTCTGGTTGCTACAACCAGGTCACGCGCAACTACATCGATGTAATTGACGTGCGACAGCAACTGAGTCATGTCAACTCCATACGCATTACCATTGCACAAAGATAACTAGAGAATGACGCAACTATTCTGCTCACAACTAAATATTTCTGTTATGTGCATCATATCTTTCTTTTCTGTGTATGCATCTGTATATATCTCTGTGCATCCTCCACAGCTTTCGACAATCGTTAGTGCTCTGTTATTGCAGTTGGAGAATAATCTGTTTCATTCTCAAGAAACATTCTTTTCATAATATATACGTATGTGAAAATACTGTAGATACATCAGACATCATAAACATGAACATTTTCTAATTATGTTCACGAAAGAAATTGGCTCGTACCTCTGAGACACAATGCGACTATTTGCATTACAAAATAAGTCTGCGCCTATCGGAGGGTCAAGGTGCGCCCACGTGTCAGAAGGTCAAGCTCAGCAAACTCCTGCGTTCACGATCGCGGCCCGATTTTTGCGATCGATATGCCTCGAGGAAGCAGAGGAGGGCGGGCTGGCCGTCGTAAAATTCGTTCGCGGAATGTGTGTGCGTAGAGGGTAACTGTAATCGACGAGAGAAAGAGAGTGGGGCGAATTATGACCCGAAAGCGGGAGAGCAGCGAGAGGAGAGATGCCCGGGGAAGGTTGCGCCGTTGCTTACGCGGCAGAGGGGCGAGGGGAGCGTTCGTTTTACGATCCGGGCGATAACGGTCCACCGGCCGGGTAATTTCGGCGGGAGAATTGCATTTTTTTCCGTCCCTTTTGCTGCTCGAGATGGGAAGGGGAGAAGGAGGGCAGTCGGCGAATCTGCACTGGCGTTGTTGTTCACGCACGCAACATGGCCGAATTTCGAACGGTGCGAGCGAGATCTCGCGAAATTGCGCTCAACGCTTGCGGCGCACTTCGACAGTCCTTTCCCTCCTTCCTTCCCTCCTTGCAGTTTGGCCGTTTACGCAACTGCAATTTATCCGCGTGTGACGTAATGCGTGAATTTTAATCGCGGTTCACGCGACGCCGTTACGTGTTACGGTTTCTTTGCGCGGTCTTATTGCGATTTGGCGAGCGATCAATATTCGTTCGGCGATCGCAGGAAGGTGATACCGACTCTTTTGCTCTTTTTAATTGGACTCGATCGCGCTGTGCCTCTCTCGGACAATACCTCGCACAGCGATCGTGCGTATGTGTAACGATGACTGGGCGCGAATGGTACCGTTTCTCTCTGGAAGAGACGATTCACGGGATCGGCAACGATTTCCCGGAAATCTGGCTGGCGCGTATTACGGCGGCGATACGCGAATCGCGATGTTCGCGCGATCTCTTTTACATAATGCGTAATTAATGGTTGTACTGAATACGCGCTCCTCTTCCCGTGTCGTAACCGCGAGAATTGCATTACCGTTGCAGTTTAGAAGGCGCTTCACTCTCGCCTGCGTAACGCCGACTGCCCGGCTCGAGCGGCGAAATTGCGACTTTGACCGTCCAGTGTGTGACCGACTAGGAACTTTGCCCATGATCAGGTTGATCCCAATCTCAACTTGGTCAGTTATCTCTTGACTAGGAATTTATCCCATGGTCCTGATCAGATTGATTCTAATCACTTATTTGGTGTGTAAGGTTAGGTTATCAGGTCTTAATTATTAAAATCTTAATTATCTAATTATAAAATCTTAATTATTAAAAATACTTATATTGATGAAGTGTTAATAATCACGTTGCGTTATATATCAGGATTCGGACAACTTATCAGGACTCGGTAACATCATCTCTATAAACCAGACAACTGATTAATCATGGGATCAGCCATGATCAGAACCATAAAAATAATTTCTAGAGCTGTTTTGTATAAAGTGATGTTATCAGATCCTGATGAGTGTACTGAGAGAAAAAAAGATTGATCTAAGTACAATTATAGTTATTTTTGGCTTTAATTGTATTTTTTGGTCTAACACGAAAGGCTATTATCACTAACATTTATAATACAATTTGATAAAAAATAATTTTCTTAACTATAATTTATAGTAATTATTTTTTTATGTAAGTTATACATACTAAAAATTTTTTCTTAATGTGTAACAGCGTGGAAAGCAGAATCTTATTAATAATAAGAATTATTAATAATTAAGATCTTATTGGTAATTAGAGTTCGAGATATATTGCATCATCTTGTACATTGAAAGAAAATATATCTAAGAAATGAAGAGTATTTATTTGATGAATATTAGTAACAAAAGAATTTAGATTTAACTAAATATATTATTGATACTCCCGAATGAATATTTTTTATTCTTCAAATATTTTTCTTTTCGGTGTGCAAACCAGATAACTGATTGGGATCGATCTGATCAAGAGCTGGGATAAACTTCTGATCAGGTAGATCGATGTTGACCTCTTTCTCACGAAAGGAGATTAGAATGCATACAAACGTATAATCCTGGAGAGAGAGACCTTTGCAAGAAATAATAAAGGAGAAAATTTCCTAGAGATTAATGTTATTAAAGTAGTTTTGATTGTTATTGTTATGTCCGACGTAACTTCTCTTCAGTTCGACCAAGTGCACCTTCTGTTACCACCAGGAATGCAATAAATGCCCTGGGTGGTCAAAGAACAATGGACTGATAATAAGGTGTCAAAATTTTACTATTGATTATTACTCACATGTTGTGAGAAGCATTTTTCCCCTTCTACTAAAAGGTGGTGAGAACTCACGCGGGGGTATCTCGCCACCTGCCTATAAAAACGGGTGCGACTGCCCACATACCTTTAGAGACAAGAAATCAGGCTAGAGACAAGGAATCAGTCAATCAATCAGTCAGTTTATAATTAATTAAACTTATAAAATACAAATAATATACATAACAATTGGATCACTAAGATAAAACATTAAAAATCGCAAATAAGTTATTGGATAGATAAAAGGTTTGTTTTCCTAACATATCCCCTGACCTAAGCGTCACGTTACACTTTACTCATATTCCCAAATCTTCACCAACCTCTTAAGTCCGATCCTAAGCTCTTCAGTCTCTCTGTAACTACAGTACGAGAAGGACTTCAAAATAATTTAAAAATTTCTTAAAGAAAGAATCAATACAACCAGAATCAGTAAGTAAAATAATTATTTTGTACACACACATACGTTTACACATTTACTCACTCACAATCACACGAACTTGTCCATCCCAGGGTAAAGTGGTTAAATCCATTGACCCAAAAAGGACAATTAACACGTTTTAAAAAAAAAAAACAACTAAGACGTGTGACACTATTGCAATTGTCGATTTGCATACGTGCTCTCTCGACGAGCACGTATCCGTGTTCCTGGGACTCGACGCGCGTAAAAGCCGAAGGATCCCATTCTTTGTAAATTAGGCAACTGAATCGGCGGGAATGCCCTAAAGTAGAGAAGCAGCCTCGATTATTCGTGAAATAGTCCTTCGATAGTAACGTGCGCGCGCGGCACGCTCTATATAAGGACAACCTCGCCCGACACGTCGTGGTTCCTAAAGGCCATTACGATCTCACTTCCAGATTTCTTCTTTTCCAGGGGTTTCAAGGTCAGCGTTTGCGGCCGTCAACACATCTTCAAGCCGGTATCCGTTCAGGCCATGTGGTAAGTCTGCATCTCTGATAAATGAAACTGGTTTCGCAGCGACGTAAGAATGACGAGAGAGAGAGATGGAGAAAGAAGGAAGGAGAAAAAAGATTGCGACGCGCAAAGACACTTCCTTTTTTTTGCGTTTCGCGTAACAGCTGTTTAATGGGGTGGCTGCGAGCACACACCGCGTGAGGTGTGTTCGCGGTATGTTAAGCCGACGTTTGGAATCGCCGGTGATGAGAAATAAGTTGTTGACTGCCTAATAACACGTCGCGCTCATACTGCGTTTCCTCATGAAAGAAACCATTAAGTTTCACCATAAGTACTTTTCACATATTCGACGAAACTTGTACGCTTGGCGCATACTCGGGCGAATGCTTCGCGAGCATCAACAAGACTCTTTCAAGATATCCTGTCCCTTTGCCGGATCAACGTTGGTCGTTTTCGTGCGTGGAACAACGAGACACTCTGATCGAGCTGCTGCGTACAATCGGCATTCGCGGGGGTATACGATATCCTGTCTGGTTACGCTAGACGAGTTGTACGATTGAACGGAGGAGGGTCATTGGTCGTGGGCTTAACAACCGCGGCTAATAGATAATACCGTGTAATTACTCAACGAATGACCCGAGACGTTTGTCTCGTCTTCCGCGTCACACTTCCGCGAGCAGCGATATTTTCCACAGAGAAGTGCTCGGATGTTACAGATATATTCTCCCTTTTCAAAGGGAGAATATATCAACATTTTTACGATTACAGTTTCATCTTTATACCTGCACTGAGAGAAAAAAATGGTTCATCCACCTGAAATTATTCTTGATCTCAACCACATTTTTGTTCTTTGACACGACAATGGCAGTAGTATTATGCACGTAAGGTTATTATCATTAATATTATAGTGGAATTTAAAAAAAAAATAGATATTTCTCAACCATAATTTATATATATGCTACATTTATACTTTGAATAATTATAGAGCAATTATTTCTCTACGTGATTATAGGTACAAATATCAAGTATTTTTTCTCAGTGTGTTTTCAAATTAATAATAAAGACGTTTTGATATTCGTTCACCCAAAAAAATGTAATTTTATTTTTAGCTTTGTCTTTGAAAAGAAAATATTCTAAGCACGATATTCTTAAAATTGAAGGAAGATTTTATCTTTTGTCGACAGTCCTGTTCTTAGTAGAAATTTCTCCTAGTGAAAAGACATTCTGCTTCAAATAAACACATTCCTTCCTCTTGGTTCGAGAGGAAAAAAGTTGGAGTATCTAATAGATTTCCAGTTAAATAGTTTACTTTGTTAGAAGAGAAGTACTATTTTTGTAAGAGTTTTCGCTTGGAATATAGAATTATAGAAAATAGCACCTTACAACTAGGGTTCTTTGTCTTTTTGGTTAGAAAATTTTCCTTTTCATTTTGGTTTTCATGAGAATCCTCTTGAGGCCATACATAAAAGGATTTCGCTGAGAATAAGTTTACATTTTCTTGGGTGTTAATAGTATTATCACGAGAAAAGGAACATAGAGTCGGGCGTTTCGTGACGGAGAAAATTGCAACTGTGCAAACGCGCAACGTCCGCGCGGAATGATTCGGGGGTGGGATGACGAAGATGTTATCGATGCGGAAGAGGCTCGAGCACCAGCGAAATGAAAAATCGGGCGTGGGCCGTGGCTTAATTGGTCGACATCACAATTGCCCTGTGCGCGCGGCCGAACAGGCCGGGAACTTTCTTGGCCGCCCAGCCTCTTCCGGTGTTGTATTTTTCAGCGCGGGTGAAAATACCGTCTTCCCACACGGATCGCTTTACGTACGATCTCCTTTCTTTACAGTGTTGAACTTCTCTGAGCGATCGACTGTGCGGGAAATTGTTACCGGGGGAAAACTCGGGGTCTTGTAGGAAAATTAGGACATTATTCTTCATTTAGCCAAGCTATATATCTTTCCAGTACGTGTAAACAGGCTCTGTATACAAATAAGAGTAGCGATAAATAAGAGCCAAGCGCGATTATTGATGCAAAATATTTAAAACTCTTTAATTTTTATGTTTAAAATATTTCATATTTTTTATCTTACCCGCAGAGAGCAGGATATGATCTCTTAACGATATTGTCGTCCCGAAACAGACAATCATTTTCCATTTCTGTTCATTGGCAAAGGGTGACGAAATTACGCGTCGTTAATTGTTATTCGTAATGTTTCTCGTTCACTTATTTTGCGCGCGTATCAGAACACGTCAGCTAATGTCTATCAAGGTAGGCGTCGTCGTCTCCATACTCGTCTTATTCGCGTGACCTACGACTTCGAGATTTGTTATTTCTGGCACCGCCGTGTGCTTGAACGGTGTCTGGATTATAAATAGCCTTGCCTCCGATCGCCACGTGCATTAGCGTTAAGCTCGCGTCGATTTTTGCGAAAGGACGATCAGCTCGATACACGTGGGCGCAAATACCTTTGATGTCGCACCGCGACGTGAATTTTCATGGGCGTACTGATAGATTAGTTTCGTACGTTGATTGCACACGCGACCACAACGGCAGCGCTTAGAGTTAAAACGAATTCACAAAATTGACAGTAAAGAGAAGGCACGAGAGGCAGAGGCACACATTTTATCAAGCTTTTACTCCAATGAAATATTTCACCAAAATTGGATATACGCCTTCATGTGAAAATTGAAGGATTGAAAATTGAACGATTATTCAAATCTATCCTTGTCAAAATGATATTGATATTACTATATTTGTTTCTAACGGTGATACGCGAATTTTATGCATTGGACGTATATTAAGAGAGAAAAAAATATTTAAAAAATAAAATATTTATTCAGTAGGTATTATTATAACATATTTAAATAGACGTAAATCTTTCAACTGCTTTCATGAAAACCTCAGGTTTCAAGAAAATATATAATACTTTCTTATTTGAAAAATATTTTATATTAGTATACGTATATAAAATATAAATATAATATGTCATCAGTCCCACCAGATAAATATTTTTTTTCTCGGTGTATTATCAATTAATTTAAGACTTATTAAATCACACTTATTGTTAGTTATCATTCTCTTTTTGGTTTTTACTTTTAACGTGGTTTTTACATAATTTTGAGGTAGTTATCGAAAATTAATTAAAATTTACATCAATAATTCGGGAGCCGCTTGATGTTATTTTGTGAGAGTCAATTACCAACAAAATCTTGAGTAAAAGAATTCGGCAGCTGTCTAATCGTGCACTTTTATTTTCAAAATTGTCGCACAAGGACAAAATTGTCGCGGTGAGGACTATCAATTTTCGCGAAAACGCCCGTGTATCATTGTACGGTTGTTATTTCTCGAAGATCGATCTGCACGCGAGACACGCGCTGCGTGGAAATGGCGCAGGCCCCACGAACTGCTGAACGCCGCGACGTCCAAGGCGCACCGTCGTCGTCGGTCCCTCTCCTCTGGTCGGCGTCGTCGACGAGGACGTCGTCGTCGTCCTATTTTTGGAGAAGCCTCGTCGGTCTCGACCAACACCGTGGTGGGGTTGGTTACGACCATGGACCATCGGCCGCGCCATTTGTGGACGCGTCGCGTCGCGACGCGTGGTCACTTTGCCGAATTTCGCCACGTGGTCGCGCGTTGTCGCGCGAACAAACCCCACTTGGAGTCACGCCGTTTCCGCGTGTTTTCGCGCGAGCCCGGGCGAGTCAATCCAATTTGCGCGTTACGCAAATAAATCGCGCGCGTTTCTAAAAATTGTTTTCGCGTCGGATAGTCCTGGTTGTCTCCGTCGGGGCCGTTAGTACCACGTCGCTTCTCACAACTAGCGGTGTAACTTACAAATGAGAGTGTTATCTATCAACCTTTAAACGACAGGATGAACTTGTGGGGCATAAACAACGAAGTGAGGTCGTGATCTCAACATTTTTTAGCTTATTTTTTCTACAGTGCAGAAATATTGTTTCAGTATCTAACTTTGACGCACAAAACACTCACAAAATATCAATTAATTGTATTGGACGATATACACCGATTGGGGTCATCGTTGGCGTTTAACCCTTTCGCTACCAACGGGACATATTTCCGCCAAGTGTAATAATAACCTTATTCAATTGAATAAACAGCTCCTTTGGCATTCAAAATACATGATTCTATTTATTACCGTTGAGACAAATGTGTCCTAAAAACCTCAGTGAGACATTAGTGTTCCAGATCTGTCTCTTTGGCACCAAACATTTAATTAACATTTAATTAACATTAACCAAACATTTTTTTACTGAAATTATATTATATTAATAAAGTGAAAGTATCAAGTAATTGCACTTTTTTTAAAGAATAAATTTGATAGCGAAAGGGTTAGGGGGGAAATCATGAAAGCATGAAGATCATTTTTTTTCTCATCAATAGAGACGCGTGGACGTGTTCATGGCTCCGTGAATTCACCGTTCCAGCAAAATGAATTACGATTATTTTATTATTGCGATCGCATAGATGTCGGTGGCGGCGTTCGCACACACAAGTCGCGTGAAGTGTCACGAAATTTTATATAAGTAGGCGAGAGAGCTCTCCTCTCTTATTAGAGGTCTTACCTCGCGCGGTCGCTCACGTGGGTGGCCGGTCTCTCCGTAGACGTGACCCACATACGTAATTGCGAGCGTACACACGCTCATGCGCGCCGACATCAAAGCTTTTTCGTTACCGTTGCGCGGCACCTCCTCTCCGATCTTCAAACTCGCCGTTCGGTGTCGGGTATGAAATATAGACGCGCGTCATGGTTCAACGGTCCCGATACTCTCCTTGTGGGCTGACGCAAATGCTCACGCCCGCGAAGCAAACGCTGTTTGTGAACATCCGTCTTCTCGACGCTGAGCGCGCGCGCGAGTTTATTTTCCGATCTATTGTTGCGCGTTTCCTCGAGAGCTCAGTTCGCGCTCGCTCAGGGGGCTGCGGGGGTGACGTCGATGTGGACGCGATCGTTTGTCCCTCGAGCGACGACCTGACTTTTATTGATCTCGACCCCCGCCCGTCGCGTCGCTACACTCGTCGTTTTCTTCTTCTATTTTGCCCGCGCGATCCTTGACACAGAATTTCCGTGCTCTGTCGGTCGCCACATGGATTACGAGGCGCTGTGAACGTATCGTTCGGTTTCTGACACGGGTTATTAAATCAGTGTACGTTCGAGAAAAGTTTCTGATCATTATCAATTAACAACATACACGGATCTAATTAATGCATCGCGTTTTCTCGTCAAGCGTGTAAACGCGAGAGATTATCGCCCGTCGAATCGCGATCTCGAGGATCTTCACGTCGGGAGAAAGATTAAGGATAGGATCAACTTTATGATGCGTCGGTACCGAGACTTACGACGGCAATATCCTGAGGAGTCCACGCTTACGTTTTTGCCCGCGTAGAAAGTAAATGTTTCCACGCCTGCTAAATTTTACATAGTAAACTCAACGGGACGTGCCAGGAACAGATGTTCGAGCCGTTAACGAAAGAGAATTCGAGTCCGTGCAAATTTTTGGCTCCCAAAATATTGTATATTCAAAGAGTTACATATTATATGCGCGACACACAAATATCCCGCGTTTTGGTCGTACCAGTCGAGTCACGTGTATCCTACTCTAGACGACCGATTCAGCGGATATCAGTCCGCGATCTGGTTTTTTTATTCTAGCCCGCTGTAAAAACATGTCAGGTCGACTGGTTTCCAGGTCGTAGCGACGAGTTCAGGCGTGATGAACGCCCGGCGACATAAATATTCCTCGTTTCGCGAGTACATGAATAATTTTCTCCGGTGAAACGGCGTCTCCGTCCTCAGTCGTCGATTCCGATTAGCGTTGAGTGGCGAATTGAATGGACACTCGCCTCGAATACGCTTCCTCTTTAATTCACGAGGGCTCATTAGGCGGCCAGAGGCGGGATATTAAGGTGGTAACGATAAAAGGCTAAAGTGAGAGACGCGGTCGTGTCGCTTTTACGGCCGTCGGCTGGCAGGAAGCCCTCCCGGATCATCGGGAATCAATGAACTTGGGACAACGCCGGTGTCGGAACCGGTTCCCGGCCGGATGACGAAGACGAGAACTCGAAATGACACCTCGCTCTATGATGAGGTTGCCGGCACTCGCGAACGGCAGTCCCATCATCATCGACGCGATCGTGTCGACGGCGGGCTGCATTGCGACCACTATCCTCGCGTACGCGTTCTCAGATACGTCCGAAGGAAACGGCCTGTCCATTTGTTTCGTATAATAATTGACCGCATTACACGCGACGCGCACAGTTCTTTTTCTTCAACAGTATCTCCCTAGAGAAATTATCAGCGTGGAAAATCACACGGGCAGAATTTTATAGAGAAAATTACTATAGCACTCGGTAATCTTTCTCTCGAGAAGTAAATCGATATTCTGCAATAGAATTCACTATCTTTTCATTCCATTCGTGCTATTTGTATTTTAGGATCTGAAATATTAGAAAATTGCTATTGAATACATTTACATAGAAATACATTAACGTATACTAAAAGGAAAAATATCTAAAAAATAAAAAATATTTTTATTCGGTGGGTATTCTAATAATAACACATTTGCTTGTAAATCTCTCTTTCTTCCTCTCTAAATGCCTTTACTCAAATAAAATCAACAACTGTCTTCATGAAAAGCTAAGCTTTGAAGAAAATGTATATTTTCTTATTTGAAAAAAATATTTTATGTTAGTAAATATGTTATTAGTGCCTATTGAATAAGTATTTTTTTTATTTTGTACATATTTTTTCTCAGTTTCTAGAATTTATATAATAAATTCATATATATATATATATATATATATATATATATATATATATATATATATATAT